TATGCTATTTACTATTGGATCTAAATTGATTTGAAGGACAAAGATAGAGAAAAATTTTCAGACTGCGTAAATACCGTTCGTGTATTATGCCATGGTGAGATTGAGGGGGCTAAGTATATAGATGGCTTTTGGCTGAGTTATCAACGTCCTAAAAAACACAAAACCTGAACAGCAGAAGCCATTCAGTCTGCTTGGGTCGCTTGTCATGGGGAAGAGGAGAGCAGGATTGGAGGAGAATTGAAGAGGGAAACGAGAGCAAAGGACCGAGGGAGAGGAAGAGAAGAGCAAGAGGGAAAAAAAGAAGAGGAAGAGGAAGAGGAAGAGGAAGGGCAAAGAAGGGAGAGAGATGTTGTGGCAGCCAACCAGCCAGACCAACAGGTAAGTAAAGCAGTCCGTCCGTCCGTCCGTCAGTCACTCAACTCAGTGAGTTGAGTGGTGGTGAGTGAGGGACTGGAGATCGGCCTTACCTCCCTTGCTCCCGTTCCAACCTAGCAGGAGATCATGTACGTACGGGAAAAGTGGAGGCTGGGAGGAGGGGAATAAAATGCTCAGGGCAGCAGAATAGGAATAAGAACAGAGGGGAGCAGAGAGAGAGAGGGAGGGAAAAAAAGGGGGGGGGAGGGGAGGAGTAGAAGGTAAGCGTGTACTATGTATGCTATGCTATGCTATGCGTATCGTATGGTGGATGGGGATGGTGGATGAAGCAAACGCAGGACCCTCAGCAGACAGGACAGGACAGGACAGGACAGGACAGGACAGGACAGGGCAGAGAAGAGAAGAGAAGAGAGATCCTGCGCCTAGGAAATAAATGGGCGGTGCTTGGAGCCGGCGCGCGAGCGGATTGCTGGTGCTGGTGCTGGCTCTGGTTATGGTTATGGTTATGGGGGCGGGTAGGTAGTGGTGCTTGGAGTGGAGTACCAAAAGGGAAAAAAGCAACTGTACCTTTTTTTTTTTTTTTTTTAATTATTGGCAAAACCTTGCTCGGGCTACTTCTTGTCTTTTAATAAGAATACTGGACAGGAGGAACCTTGCACCCTAGGGAGGGAGGAGGACGAGGAGGGAGGAGGAGGAGGGAAAGAAAAAGAAAAAGAAAAAGAAAAAAAGGAAAAAGAAAAAGGAAAAAGAAACAAACGGGCAGGCGAGCTAATAAGATACAGATAGTAACTAGTTAACAGGCCAGGCCAGTC